TGATTACGTGATGTGATGGACTGTTGCTGTTTGTTTGCTCCAATGCTTAAAATACAGATTTCTATTTGTTTAAGCCCATGGCTGTGATGGTATTCCCCAGTTGTCTGAGGGGGAAGGAGTTATTTTTTAAGTGAATTTACAGCAGCTCGGAGGTGGCTTTCGGTATGACTGGGGATCAGAGGATAAGCCCCTCCCCTCTGGGATCAAAGTTTGCCGACCTTGCCTACGGAAGGGGGAGGTGCTTTCCCAGGAGTAAGGAGTCAAGGACTGCCCCACTCTGGACCACCGAGAAGGAAGCAGTTAGAGATATGAGTGGCCTCAACTGAATTCTGGTACCATTTAGATATCTTCACACATTCTGAGCCAAAGTTTTAGAAATGTTTATATTTTACTAGGGAAATCAGATATTTCTTAACAACTGCTCTCTTCTTTGTTACTTGGTAACTTTGGGTTGGTAGGTCACATAGAAAATTTATCCAGATTTGCATTCTCGACTCCTAATAAAAATCATTGAATGACATTGGATCAGATCCAAAGACTCCCTACCGCCAAGCTGGCTCTAATGGCTCTCTTCCATTAAGTTTTCATCCAACAGAGGAAGTCTTTCTCTTGGAGATTTTTTTTTGTGTGTATGAAGGAAGACTTGGCAGAAGAGAGGCCTTGAGTAGAACTTGGAGGAAGAACTTATTGGATACAACCTATTATTTCTCTTGTGTTCTTTTTCCATTTTACTTATATATGGCATGATAATAATAAACAATTATATAGCTCTACCTATGTACATTATCTCCATAATTTTTACAACACCATAGTAAGACAAATCCATATTATTATCTCATTATTGCCAGTGGGAAGTTGTGGCAGAATGACTTGATTAAGAGCTTACTACTCAGTTCAGAGCAGATGTAAGGTTTGAATCACATAGTGCCCAGTTTGCAGCTCAGCACAGGTAACTGAAATGGTAAAGAGCACTATTTTTAATTACTTCAAGACTGAACTAAACATGTTGACATTGATCCAGAACATACCTATATCTACTCTGTGGCCTCTAATATCAGCTCTCAAATATCTACTATTTGTAGCCTTCCAAATTGTACTGAAACTTGCCACTTACAAACACAAAAAATTGATTAGAAACATGCTATCTTGCCTCTTACATAAACTATACAAGGGCACAGCCTAACTACAAAATACTTAATTGAAATATATGTTCGTCAGAGCCCTAGATATATAATAAAGAGCTAGGACTATAGGGCATACTCCCATGATCTGTTATGGTTGCCTGGAATTGAGCTCAAAATACATACATGTAAAAAATGTTCCTCCCATTGGCTCTAGTGCATGGAACATTTTAACACCAATCCCATGATTAACAGGTTACTTTAAGCCTTCGATAATGTTGTGGATAGAATTTTCACTCCCAACAGGTTGTTCTGTGCCTGGACTCATGCTGGTATGATCTAGCAGCTTGGCTTTTATAAGCAGACAGATATGAAAAATAACCTCAATAAAATGTTCCTCCCATTGGCTCTAGTGCATGGAACATTTTAACACCAATCCCATGATTAACAGGTTACTTTAAGCCTTCAAGAATGTTGTGGATAGAATTTTCACTCCCAACAGGTTGTCCTGTGCTTGGACTCATGCTGGTATGATCTAGCAGCTTGGCTTTTATAAGCAGATAGATATGAAAAATAACCTCAATAAACTGATCTTCTCAAAGATTCCCAGCACAGTTTTTCAATGAGATATTGGCCCTGTGCAGAACATGTACTAATATGAAGTGATAGCAAAACCAGTTCATAGACCTGAAGCCCAAACCATGAATTATCCTCATGTATTTGTCACATATGTCCGTGCCTTGGGATGGACGCACGAGTCCCAATTTAGCTGAAAAAGCAGATTATATGAAATAAATTATATTAATTCATGCATGGATTATATAAATAAGTAAGAAAAGTGGTATAATGATAGAATTCCTGTTTAATAAATGGCAGTAGGTGTTGTGAAAGACTTCACCCTTGGGCTGTGGAGAGCTGTTGCCAGTCTGACTAGACAATACTAACTATGATGGGCCAGTGGTCTGATTCAGTATACAGCAGATTCATATGTAATTTGATGAAATACCATAAAATGCATATTAAAAAATGAAAATATGAAACCGCCTTATGCAAATTTAAGACGATTGGTCTATCTAACTCAGTATTGTCTATTCTGTCTAGAAGCAGCTTTCCATGGTTTCAGGCCATGAGTCAGATTGAGGTGACGAGAGAGGAGGTCCTAAAACTGATAGACAACTTAAAAACTGAAAAATCACCAGGCCCAGATGGCATACATCCGAGAGTTCTGAAAGAACTCAAATGTGAACTTGTAGATCTCCTGACAAAGATATGTAATCTTTCCTTAAAATCTGCCTCCATTCCTGAGGATTGGAAGGTAGCTAATGTCACTCCCATCTTTAAAAAGGGTTCCAGAGGAGATCCGGGAAATTACAGGCCAGTCAGTCTGACGTCGATACCGGGTAAATTGGTGGAAACCATTATTAAGGAAAGAATTAGTAGGCACATAGATGAACAAAACCTATTGAGGCAGACTCAGCACGGTTTCTGTAAGGGAAGATCTTGTCTCACTAACCTGTTAGTGTTCTTTGAGGGGGTGAACAAACATGTGGACAAGGGGGATCCAATAGATATTATTTACCTTGACTTCCAGAAAGCTTTTGATAAAGTTCCTCATCAAAGGCTCCTAAGTAAGCTCAAAAATCATGGGATAGAAGGACAAGTCCTTTTATGGATCAAAAACTGGCTAGTTCATAGAAAACAGAGAGTGAGTGTAGGTGGGCAATTTTCTCAGTGGAGGGTGGTAAGCAGTGGGGTACCGCAGGGATCAGTACTTGGTCCACTGCTTTTTAACTTGTTCATTAATGATTTGGAGATGGGAGTAAGCAGTGAAGTGGCTAAATTTGCGGATGATACAAAGTTGTTCAGGGTGGTGAAAACCAGTGAGGATTGTGAGGCACTCCAAGGGGATCTGTCAAGGATGGGCGAGTGGGCGTCAACATGGCAAATGGGGTTCAATGTGGCCAAGTGCAAGGTGATGCACATTGGAGCCAAAAATCCTAAATATAAATACACATTGATGGGGTCTGAACTGGCAGAGACTGAGCAAGAGAGAGATCTTGGAGTTGTAGTGGATAACTCACTGAAAATGTCGAGACAGTGTGTGACTGCAATAAAGAAGGCCAATGCTATGCTGGGGATTATTAGGAAGGGTATTGAAAACAGATCAGCCAATATAATAATGCCCCTATATAAATCAATGGTGAGACCTCATTTGGAATACTGTGTGCAGTTCTGGTCACCACACCTTAAAAAGGATATTATAGCTTTGGAAAAAGTGCAGAAAAGGGCAACTCGAATGATAAAAGGGTTGGAACACTTTCCCTATGAGGAAAGGTTAAAGCGCTTAGGGCTCTTTAGCTTGGAGAAAAGACGACTGAGGGGTGACATGATCGAGGTTTATAAGATTATGCATGGGAAAGAGCAGGTAAAGAAAGAGGTACTTTTCTCCCTTTCTCACAATACAAGAACTCGTGGGCACTCCATGAAACTGCAGAGCGGTCGGGTTAGAACGGATAAAAGGAAGTACTTCTTCACCCAAAGAGTGATTAACACATGGAATTCACTGCCACAGGAAGTGGTGGGTGCTACAAGCATGGACGGCTTCAAAAGGGAATTAGATAAGCATATGGAGCAGAGGTCCATCAGTGGCTATTAGCCACAAGGTATAGCTAGGGGCTCTGGGGCAAGTGATGCTCTGTCTTCTTGGTGCTTGGGGGGGGGGTCAACAGTGGGAGGGCTTCTAATGTCCTGGCCCCACTGCTGGACCTCCTGATGGCACTGGTATTTCTGGCCACTGTGTGACACAGAGTGTTGGACTGGATGGGCCTTTGGCCTGATCCAACATTGGCGTCTCTTATGTTCTTATGTTCTTATGAAAAGTCTTTCCCACCATTTGCTACCTACGATCCTTTAACTTGAGATGCCAGGCATTGATCCGTGGGACTTTCTGCATACAAAACATGCAGTCTAGTACTGACCCCCAGTTAGGAAAATACATCTCAGTGCTCCCACCTCACATCCAGTTCTTGTTGCCTGCTACCCTACCTTTTATCTGCCCTCCATAGCAAATGCGTATATACAACTCATTTTTATATTTATTTCTCTTTTATTGAAAAGGTGGGTAGTATAGAAAGCTACCAAGCAAGAGGGAAGTCCTCCTCGTCCTCCTTCACACGTTCTCATTTGTTCCACCTTGGGGCAGATTTTGTAGCATGTTGTCTCAGTCATTTCAGTTCTGTTTGTTTTTGGGTACTCCAACCATCTGGCATTCAGAAAGTTTCATTTTATCAGGTTTGCTGAATATTTGGAGACAAACAGAATCAGACTTCTACATATTGTAGTATTAGGTGCAAACGTCTTGTTAAAAACAATAAATAAATCTTCCATTCTTTAACACTTTGGCCTTTGACGCTAAAGCCTAGCCAAATATGGACCACTATAGGCTGGGCTGTCATGTGACGTAGGAGAACAGGATCAAGCCATAGAATCACTCTGATCTCCAAACTATCCCATATACACATGTGGCCTGTGTTTGCACTAATATTCTAAGGGTCAGTGTTCACGTTATCTTTGTAGCATGGCTACCATTTCCACAGAATCAAATCTCATACCACAAAACTAACACTAAGGAGACTACACTGGAGAGGCAGATGGATGCAACTACTGGTCAACTCGGGTTACCTTTTCAAGCATTAAGGGTGCCACATGAGACTCAGGCACATAGAATTGATAGCTGTGCTGCAAAGTAATGTCAAAATTTGCCCAAAGAAGCATTTGTAACACATAAATAAACTAGCAATTTGTTTTTGGAATGTTCTTGCACATCAGCATTGTGATCATGTCTCTCTGTTTTCTTTTTGTTTCTTTGTCCCCAAACAGAAAGTGTTTAACAATGACTGTAAACTAAAGGAGAGGATAGAAGAAAATGGATATAATACATACGCTTCATACTTTTGGAAAAACAATGGAAGGCAAATGTTTGTGGCATTGAATGGAAGAGGAGCCACAAAAAAAGGACAGAAAACAAGAAGGAAAAACACCACAGCTCACTTTCTTCCGATGGCTGTCGAGCCGCGGATAGACCTGTACTATTGATAGCAGTTGAACCAAAGATCATTTGTCAGGAATACTTGGTAATCCTCTTGAAGAGGAAAGGCAGAAACTGTGCAGACGTCTGCTTGATTGAAAAGGGGGGAGAAAGCCTTTGAAGGTTTTGTACTCTCTGCTGGCACATGAAGTCCTTCTAATTAGGTCTGTGTCATATCTTATAATCAAGACACAAGCCGGATCAAATGGGATAGGAGCTCTTTCCAGTGTGAACAAATTATTATTATTTTTTATCTCTGTGCTAGAACTTAAAGGACAATGTATTGAATGATCTTCGGGGAAAGTTATTTATGGAATACTAACTCATATCAAAGACCTTTATTGCTCATTCAAGCCTAATGATCCAATGAACAGTTAGGCACGCAAGCATTTACTGGAAGCACATGGATCATACGCAGAAATAAAGGAGATTCTGGAATGGTCTTGTGGAAGACATGAATAGGATTAAGAAATATAAGCACATTAGAGTAAAACTGTTCTAACAAAATAAATAGTATGGTCTCCCTTTGTATGCTAACGCCATGCCTTTGTACTTCTCCCTAAGTTATTTATTTAATAGGATGTTAAATATCTTTCTTCTTTTTTTTGTTTGTTTGTTTGAAGGATTTTCTCAGTTGCTTCCTGTTTTGTAATTGTTCTTTTCCTCCTCTCAGTATTTTGTACCCAGTCGTATGTCGAAAGCATCCACAGGTGTCTGAGAGTAGGGAATGGGCAAGGAAAGGAATGAGCAAGGAAAGTGTAGGGTTGTGGTTTGTGTTTCATCTTGGGAGCTTTTTTCTTCCTCCTCTTGAAACTGGGTTTCTTTTTAATTTTGCACTTACGACCAATAGGATCAGCTGTGCAGGGGAACTGCAACTGTGCATGATTTAGTCAGCATCTTCAGCGCTCCCCCCCAAAGGAACAGCATTTCCCATCATGCATCATCCAAAGAGTCATGCTGCTGTTTTGAAATGGATACAGTTGAACTGATAATTCAGATTTGCGTTCATTCCCAGTTTTATTTCAGTTCAGTTCTTGATCCCAGAGATGCTGAAATTTAATCAGACATAGTCAATGTTTGGAGGTTTTTTTGAAAGCATCTTATTGCATTAAAAAAAATCTGCTAAATTAAAAGGCTGAATTAAGTCTGTGGATATGACAACATCTGAGGACACAATCTGTCCCCTCCCCTCTACCCCTAAAAAAAGACAAAAAAGAGCCATTTTTTTTTTGACTGCTTATAGTTCGGAAGAGCCCCAATGACAGTATATGTGGTTTGGAAATTGCAGCCTGTTATCTGAATAACTTTCCCTTTATTCCACTGGGTTTTGACAGCCACAGAGGAGCTGAAGCCGCAGGACTGAGTCACTCTTCCATTGTCCCATCCAGAGCAGGTGCTTCCCTATGCCCTCCAGGAAAGGATGTGTGTGCATCAGATGGGGACTACAGCTCACTCACATCTTTCTTGGGGGTGGGGGAAGTGAAGCACGTTCCCGTGAGCAGAAGGAAGCATGCATAAGCTATGCTGCTGCTCTGTAGTGTTTGGTAGCTGCCCTGAAACTATTTTTTGTATCAGCTTAGGATGGTAGTATGAATCCTGTTGATGTCGAGTGGCAAAAGAACCTGCTACAACCCTACTGGTCCAACTGGGAATGATGCCTTGAGGGAAGGTGTAGGAATGGATCCAGAGTCATGTATGTGTGTGTGTTTACCAGGTACTGCCCTCACTTTCTTCAAGCAACTTGATTTCAAACACCTGGGTGGCAGTGCCTCAAAATGGCTGAGAGTGTACATGGTATGGTCAGCCGAGAGACCTTTTGTGGAAAACCAGTGAGATACTCTAAACACTAGGTATCTGTGAGCAAGACCCAAGTGCTTGTCTCTTACTGCTCCGTGTCAACATATTGCTGCTTGTAAGAGGGGGATGGAACATTATATCTACTCTCTGCTGTTTTTTGTTGTATTCCTGCCTCCTTCCCATTGAGATGGATTTATCAGAATGAATGCACCCCAGATCAGCAACATTCTGTCCACCACACAGTGGCTGCATAATCTAATGAGGGGCAGTGACAGGTCCTGTCAGGGCAACCACCGTGGCCCCAACATGAAGCAACAATATTCTCTGCCTTCTCTGAGGCATTGACAAAATTTGATTTTCAGCCACCTTGGAAAAACAGTGATGTCCAAAACTGAAACTTACCCTCTCCCTCAAGTGCACCTGAGTCACAGGTACCCAAATGGCAAAACATAAGATAAAACTGGTTCTGGACTGTACCACTTGTGACTGCAGGTGGGGATTGCATGAGTAAATGCTTGCCCTGTTACCCCATTGCCTGTCCTCTTACAGAATTTTAGATCAGGCCCAGGGCACATTAAATGAAAAAGAGCCATCTCATGACATAAATATGTTCTTCTCTGAGATAGCATAATTTTACCCAGTATTACCTGAAATAATGATTTCAGCTATAATAGCAGACTGACTCTGGCCAGTAGATAAGGAACCCTTACAGTAACAAAGGGAGAATTACAGAGATAAAAAGGTGATGAATCTTTTCCTCCTAATTGTCTTGATTTTTATTGTTCTCACAAGACATGGCTATGGGTGTGTGGATGGAGATCACATAAGATACATAGATAGGATGTTAGGTCATGTGACCTTTGTATTTAGCCATGTTTTTGAAAGATGCCATGTGAGTATCCTTTACCCACTTTGGTCAGTATAAGAAATTCTGGAAAGAATCACGAGCTACATTTGTTGGATCCTTGAAAATTGAGCTTCACTGGTCCAGTGTATGTAACCTGTGTTACCTAGGTACCTCTCTCCATCAACACCCTCATTGATAACAACACTTCATATTTTAATTTTACAAGTCTCTCCCATATGTCTAGGAAGCTCTAGCATAGCCTTCCCCCAGATATTGTTTCTCTGTATATAGAGAAAGACTCTTTACTGTGGAAGAGTATTCAAACCTATAGTCCCTAGCCTGGTGTTTTTAAGTGGTACAATCCAAAAGCAGTTTTACCATGTGATCCTCTATTTGTAGAGTGCGCCCATGGGAACTGGTCATCCCATTGTTCTTTCCATCCCAATACTGTCTACAGTAATCACACCATAGTGAACAGGTCTACTCTGAAGTCAGTGACAAGGACTGCAGCCACTATTAGTCGTATGTGTATATAACTTCTGAGAGCCAATCTAAAAGTAAAATCTGTGTTATCATAATGTATACAATGGCTCTGAAATGCAATATGGAACACATTTTTAATGGAGTGCTCCTACTTTCACAGCTTACACCGAATAAATGCAGTCTTCAGTTAGACATACTATCAACTTTGTTCAATCTGGAAAAAATATATATTTTTTGTTTTACTTTTTTTCTTTAACATTAGAGAGCTGTGGATAGTTCATCAATATAACCATAATGAGATTTCATTTTGTTAGAGCAAGCTAAGTAGAAACTGTACATCAAGCCAACATGTACCACACTCTTCACCATTGTATTCCACTAAATAAATGAATAAATGCGTATGTCTTCTTTGCAGTGTCTGTAGTGAGGAACAGAAGTAGTTTTAAGAATATTAATTTTGTTCAAAATACATTAAGGGATTAATTATATTGATGCTGCAGTTTTGTCTTCAGTATTTCATGTCACAAAAGAAGTCTGTTTTGTTTTCTTAGTATTTGAAAATGGTATTTTTTGGTACCAAGAAGAGACTTGCTAACTGTCTCTCATTTTTTAAGAAATACAAATGTTTAATCTCTACAAAAGCTGGTGATTTTGTGCTTTTAGCTTATTTGGGTCCCTGTAATACTAGGCCTTCATAACTAGGCCTAGAGCTATCAAAAGGAGGGTGGGAATATGGGCATCATCCATCCTATTGGCGGAAAGCTAATAAAAACCTGCTGTCTTTTCCTCCCACAGCCTTTAGCACACATATGACACAACTCCTGGGTCATTATCAGGAACGGGACTCTCATGCCTACGGCCCTGTCCTCATCTAGCTCTTTTCTTCATCCATCTGCCAGTTACAAGATTGCTTTGTGGGATGGGCAGCAGGGCTCCAACTGTTCCCATTGTATATGATAAATTAGAGATATAATATGCTAGATTAGAGCATCTCCCAAATTGTCTCCTTGTACTGTGAAATGATTGGACTTGTAGGTCACATAATTAAAAATATTTGCTCTACAAAAATAGTGTTAAGTCCAGTGAATACCCAAGTGAAATGAATGGGAATAAAGTAAGGATCTTGTGCGGTTTTCTTCTTCATTTCAGTGTGGCTTGTGCAGGAGAAACATCCCACTGCACTGTGCCCAAGCTCAAGCAGATGATAAAGCATTTTGGTATGTGGCTAATGTATATCATTAACTTGGCTTGTGGATGAACTGAATGTTAAAAACACATGAAAGTACCAGCAGAAGGACGTTTTGGATGGTTAGTTGAGATTTTTTATGACGGAATAGAAAACGCTTGTCGTATCAGGAGAGCATGTTCCTTTTGTTATTGTTTATGTCCAAGTGATAATCGCATCTGACAAGGTATGGTGGACCACCCGCAACAAAAATTAAATGTTTGGTTGGCAAATAAAGGATTGAGTGACCAGTCCTGATAGCGTCTATGACATAAACGAGGTTCTCATTTCACAGAACCATTAACATTGATTGGGGGGGATGATGTATAAACATTCATAATTATACTATTTCAGAATGGTCAGAAGCTTCTCGCAAAAACATACTACTGCTCGCAGAGGCCAGGAATTAGAAAAGATTAAATACAGTGAATAGATGTGGGATAGATATTCGGGGGGAGGGGAATCCTGCAACATTTTTCCTGAGCCTTACAAAAATATTTTTATTCCCTTTGATGAACTGTTTCACCAAAGAAGTGATTTCCATATTTAATTTAAATTTCATGAGCCTTATCCAAATCAGTCGTCTTTTAAATTCACCTGACGTTATTTGTAACAGGAATCTCCTTTTATTAAATTTTCACACTTGTTGCTATCTCAGTTTTGGGGGAACTGTGTCCAGATAAGATTTAGCCAGCCTTACTACAACTTTGTTGGCTCCCCTCAAAATTCCTCAAGCTGAGGAGGACCCCCCAAAATTGACTTCCGATTTTGCTTTAAATGAAATGTTTATTAAAATGCTGAATGGAATTTTGCAGCCATTGGGTTGGCTCTTACAGAACTTTTCCGCCAGCAGGAGGGCCTCTTTCATCAGAGGAACAGGTTCAGGCAGGCCCAACCCATTTGTTGGTTTATGAAGGTTTTAAGGAAAAAGCTGCCAAAGGTATCATGAGGAATCTGTGCAACTGACATGCTTTGGAACCTGCTGTGGCAGGAGTGTGCTACAGCTGGATTTCCCAGAGTAATTTTGCTCCACTGGAACGTGGAGCACAATCCTCAAAGAATTTCTCATGTGTAATACTGACTGAAATGAGACCCAGCTCTGGTCCAGTTCCCATTCACTTTAGCAAGGCTTAATCTGTAAGGATTCCCAGTAGGTATGCCCTGAAGTGTTCCTCTGTCTCCATCATAAAAATGAGACAATC